TGGCTCAGCAAGTGCTTGCATTTCATAGCTACAGAGAGGGAGAAGTTTGTGAAAAATACGCACTTTGTCTCACCACTTAATAAATGGCTTGGGTGAGTTACTCAACCTCTTGTGTCTCAGTTTTCTCATCTGTAAAATGATGATCCACATAGTGTTGTGGAGACAATTAAATGTTATTTAAAATATTCTTAGTGTTGTGCCTGGGATGTTAATGTGAGCTGTGTAAATGTTAAATGGATATCTGTCTATCTAGATCTCTTACATATGGATGAATATGAAAAGGCAGATTCATTAACTCTTGTATGAAAGGTTCTGAGTCAAAATGTACCATGCCATGGTGCTTGTGCATGCGTGTCTGTGTCTCTTTTCCGTGCTTATTCTCTCCTTTACCTTTTGGCTCTATGATTCCCATACCCCAGCTGCTTAGACTTTGGTCCTGGAGAGGTGGTAGAGACACTGCTGTGTGAGCCTGGAGTGTGCAGTCCTAAAGTCCTAACCTTCAAGTCTCTTGACCCTCCTTGCCCTTTCTAGAGAGAGCTGCTGGGGCAGGAGGTCCAGTAAACTCAGGGGTCTGGGCAGTTCTGAATGCTGGACACTGGAGGGAGCAGTCTTGTATTGAAGATGCTTCTACTTGGCCTGTTCTTGTGCGTGGAGGCTTCTGGGAGGGCGTGTCTGGCTGTGGTGGCAGGAGTGGACCTGAGGAAGATGTAGAGGAGTGGCACTTTTCCTCCAGCTATAGGGTCTACATGGATGGGACTGGGCATCTGTTCCCTATCAAGGTTGACTGCCAAGGGGCCTCCAAAGCCAAGAGTGTGATGGCATTGCTGGTGCTGTGGTCCACAGTTCCTCTGGGAGATGTTAGGTAGACTGGAGATGGCTCAAACTCTGGGAGCTTGGGGAATCCCAGGGAAGGTGCATTCATCACTTCTTCTCCATCTCTATCACTCTAACCTCTCTCCTCGTTGCGCTTTGAGCCCCTCACAGTCAAGACCTTGGTGAGATTATATCTTTTTCACATAGTGCATGGTGGGATGTGTCCAAAGCCTGCTGTACTGAGCTGCTTTTGTGTGTGTGTGTGTACGTGTACTTGAGAGATCTTTCTCTGCCCTGCCTGTACAGAAGGTTCACTAGGTTGGTAGGTCCTGTGAGCATGGGGACTGCCTTTTGGAGACCTTTCTTCTTACATCTTTTTTTTTTTTTTGGTACCAGGGATCGAACTTGGGACCTTGTGCTTGAGAGGCAGGCAGCAGAACCAGTGAGCTAAATCCCCAGGCCTCAGGATCTCTCTTCTTATACATCTGGATCCTTTGGGACCGGTGGTTGAGTTGGCTGTGGCTCAGGGATGAGCAGGCCCCTTACTCTGGTGTTTGAGGGTACATGGTTCCCTCCGCACTATGAAGCCCGCCTCTCATCTTGGAAGCACAGCTTCCTTCCCAGCCAGGAGGGCAGGTTTGGTAGAGGTATCCCACTGTGCCAGAGTGCTGTGATTCCATGGGCATGGGTATTGGTGTATTCAGGAGGCCTTTATCTATTATAAGGTGGAGGTGGCCTTGGGAAGGGAGTCTTGCCAGAGGCTATAAATAGCTGAGTATGTGAAGAAACAGAGCCAGGGAGAAGAGAAGGAAAGAGGGAGGCCCCTGGGTCTCTACCTGGTAGGTAGCAGAGCTTGGGTGTGGTGTGGAAGAGGCATGAAATGTCACCTCTCTTCTGATTGCAAAGCTCTCTCGGGCATGTGATGACTTGATGGTCTGGGGCCGTATAGGAGTGTTAGGTTGTGGGAATTACCATGGGCAGCAGGGAATGATATGGCTCTGATACAGTGGCTAATGTGCCAGGCATGTTCTGATCACTTTTGAAATGCATTAACTTATTTAAATTTTCCTAACAACCCTAGGAGGTAGGTGCTGTTACTAATCTCTGTCATGGAATGGTTTAGGTAAGTTGCCCAGGGGCACACAGGGCAAGATTCAAGGTCTGGCCAGCTCACCACTGTTGTTTTGCTAAGTTGCCTAGGAGAATCTGGTCAGATGGGGTTCAGGTAACATACTGAACCCTTGGGTCCTACTTAGAACCTTGAGATTTGAAGTTCCTAGTTAGCTCCATTTGGGTCTTATCCATGTTAGTGGCCAGATGAGTCTGTGCCTGATGATGATGGCCTGGAGAGAGAAGCTGGGCCAGCCCTGGCCTCTTCTTATTGGAACTCCTACCCCTGTGCAGGGGACTTGTTGCCTGTTGTCTGAATGGAGATGTAACACTCCTGGGCTATGGGTATAGGTCAGTGTTAGAGCACTTGCCTAGCGTGCATGAGGCCCCAGGTTAGATTTACAGAGCCATAAAAAAAGTATTGTCACCTCCTTTTGAAATCTTGTTTTAACCAGCATACCTCATATGCATTTGGATCTGGCTCTGACACTCAAGATGGTCAAAATCCTGCTTTTGTCAACTTTTTAGTCTTGAGGGGGAAGCCCAGAATTTGAATATAATTATTGAAGACATCTGTAATGCTTTATTTCTTATACAAATGTTCATTTTATTAATAGTGTTATTTATTTTGGGGGGTTATTTTTGGTTATGTGATCCACATACTTTTTAATGTGTGAAATATTTAAACATCAACAGGCAATTAGCCAAGGTGGCAAGTTAGGTGAGATAGGAAACACAATGGACAATAAATTAGAAAGTTTGCGTGGTTTTGGGAGAGAGGACATAGTTAAACTCTTAGGGATAAAGTGGGAAGTATTTGCAGCCAGAGGTGTAATGGGTGCTAAGCCCAGAAGCTGGGTACATTCAAGGCTCTGGTGCTGGGATGTGGCTGCATGGGAGAAGGTGGAAGAGTGCTCAGCCCTCCTATCTGTAGCTAGCTTGGGGGCTAGCCTTGCAAGGTTCAAGTTCCCTCATTAGGATTGCTGCTGTGGATACATTAGGGCCCCAGGTTGGGGAGAGGAGGCCATCCATCCTCCAGACTGGGTGCTTTGTGCAGCTCAGTAACAGACGCTGCTGCAGGTAGGCAGGGGTCTGTGGGCATCATAGGTGCTAGCCTGGTCATGGCCCCTGGTCAGCCTCTGATTGCCTGTCTGAACCCTAAACCTTAAGTTCTGTGCTTGAAGAAGGTCCTGAACAGGGGAAGCCAGTATCCTCCCCATGTGAGCCCCCCTGGACCCTGAGGCCCTTTTTGTGGGCCAGGCTGAGTCCTAGATGCATGGCTGGTTGAGAGGCCATGCTTTCCTTCCAGAAGCCAGGATCTATGCCAAATGGCCTCGGATGGCCACCACTATGGGTGGGCACTGTGGTGACATTTTCAACCTCTGAATCTTGCTTGGAGCCTTGAGATTTTCTGGTTGCCCCTGGTCAGTTCCCCCTGGAAGAAGCCTCCTATCAGCTACAGGGAGGTGTAACAAGTGTAGGTCTGACCAGGGAATGGCTCCTTCTGTGATGGAGGCTCCCCTCACCAGTGTCCTTCTCTCTGGGATGGGCCCTGGGAAGTCAAGGTATGGGCTGTATTAGACTTCAGGGCACAGTGCCTTCCCCCGAGCATCACTGTCCTCTGTCCTTGCTGTCCCAACACACCTTTCAGACTGACAGTGAAGTAGAGTTGCTGGCATACTGGCTAGGATTTTTGGATTGACTGTGGTTCCTCCTCCTCCATCCTGTGGGGGAGGGAAGCCATGGATGGTGCCAGATTACTGGCTCACGATAGGCTCCAGAAGTTCAGAAAGGCAAGGTGGATGCTTGGCCATTCCTATCGGATGTTTCTGTGCAGTTCTGACAGTGTGGTATAAATGCTATAGCCCCCTTCACGTGGACATCCTGTGGAGGGACTGTGGCACAGCATTCTCAGACAGAACCTCTTTCGGCATCTATGTATTCTTTCCCGGCCCAGACTATAGGATTTATGAGAGCAGCTCTGGGGCTGGGTTATTTTAGAGGGAGGGTGAGGAAGATAGATTTGGTGCGTGTTTGAGGCCACGTTTGGACGAGCAGTTGGAGGTTGACATTTTCAGCCACCTGGATGGCACTTCTGCAGGGGATAGAATGGGATTCAGGAGTAGATGGGGTGTGCTGGGAGTTGTCAGGGGAAAGCCCAGCCGGGAAGTTGATCTGTGATTGCAGCTTAGTCTCCTGCCGGCCCTCCTGCCTGACCATGCACCCGCTGGTGACTCTTGGAGTCTTATGTGCATCTGTAGACATGTGCAGCCCCAGGCACCATTGTTGGGTACAGAAAGGACACTGGCGGGTCTGGGCACACCAGTTTAGGCTCCCTGGGGGCAACTGGTGAGCAGAGGCCAGGCAGAGACTGGAGCAGCAGGAAGCCTTCTCTCCTTGTAGTTCCTCCAGATGTAGCCCCACAGGTCTACATTAGAATCTCTGGAGGTAGACAGGGTGGTTAAAGTGGAGATCCTGCCAGGCATAGTGGCTCACACCTATAATCTCAGCACTTGGGAGGCTGAGGCAGGAGAATTGCTGCAAGTTCAAGGGCGGGCTGGGCTTCATAGTTCATGGCCAGCCTGAACTACATTTAAAAAAACAAAAGTGGAGAGCCTGCCTCCATTCCCATATTCCCATCAGATAGAGCTGGGCTATGGCTGGAAGATGTATTTTTAATAAACACTATCACCCTAATACACCCCTGTACTTAGTTATTCTGAAGTACACTGAGGTTTTGAGGCTCCTTCATAACTTTACTACTGCAAGGAATAACAGCCGCCCCAAACCTCAGGCAGGGTTAGAGCTCCTTTTTGTGCACCTAGCCATCTTTTTGTGGCATTAGGCTCCCTTTCTTAGGCCTAGTGCAGCTACAGTGGAGAAAATGAGTTGGGAGCTGGCGCCAAGTGGGCATGTAGTATTAAGCTAGAGGTACTGGATGGACAGGTGGCATGGGGTGTAGCATTGAGAGCAGAGGGTTTTATCTGGGGTGGCCTGGTACCCAGGACTAGTTGCAGGGGTTTGGGGCAGCAGTCCTTGGGACATGCTCAGCCTTTCGCACTTCTCTGCGGGCACAGGTTCTGGGCGTGGGGAGGCTGAGACGCGGGAGTGCATCTACTACAACGCCAACTGGGAGCTGGAACATACCAACCAGAGTGGCCTGGAACGCTGTGAGGGTGAGCAGGACAAGCGGCTGCACTGCTACGCCTCCTGGCGCAACAGCTCAGGCACCATCGAGCTCGTCAAGAAGGGTTGCTGGCTGGATGACTTCAACTGCTATGACAGGTACTACCCAAGCTCCCCTTCCTCTGCTGAAGCCTGCCTGTGCTTGCACCACCTGCTGGGCTGTGTGTGTCTCAGGATGTCTGAGGGAGAAAGGGGCTTATGAGGTGTCGCTGTGTCCCAAGCCCTTCCACAGCTGCTTGCCCTGTCCTAGCTCTGAGGAGGGTGTGGGTGCACGTCAGCCCCTGGCGGTCACTCCTCAGCTTTGGGTAACACTTAGGGGTGGGTCACACTGTCCCACTGAAGTTGCCCATGACATGCTGTCTGTGGGGAGGAGTTTGACTGCACAGGCCTGGGAGAGTCTCGCATTGTCCTGCTGGAAGAGTGTAAGGAAAACTCTGCCTTCAGGCAGGAGTGTGTGGCCACCGAGGAGAACCCCCAGGTGTATTTCTGCTGCTGTGAAGGCAACTTCTGCAACGAGCGCTTCACCCACCTGCCGGAAGCAGGGGGCCCAGAAGGTGAGGTGCCAGTGGGAAGAGGGGTCCCGACCAGCAGATGGGGGCCTCTCCTTGGCCCAGAGTGCTCTGCTCCCAGGTGGGTGGGTAATGGTTGCAGGGCCTTATGGAGGTGTGGTTGTGGGCGAGCTGTTTGACGCAGGGCTCCATGTGTCCCCCAGTCACGTACGAGCCACCCCCGACAGCCCCCACCCTGCTCACGGTGCTGGCCTACTCGCTGCTGCCCATTGGGGGCCTCTCCCTCATTGTCCTGCTGGCCTTCTGGATGTATCGGCATCGCAAGCCCCCCTATGGCCATGTGAACATCCATGAGGTGAGACATTGCAGGCTTAGGGCAGGGCAGGGGAGGGCAGGGGAGGTGTGGAAGTCCAGGCCAGATCCTGTTAAGCCTTTACTCTCCTCCAGGACCCCGGGCCTCCACCTCCATCCCCTCTAGTGGGCCTGAAGCCACTGCAGCTACTGGAGATCAAGGCTCGGGGGCGTTTTGGCTGTGTCTGGAAGGCCCAGCTCATGAATGACTTTGTGGCTGTCAAGATCTTTCCACTCCAGGTGAGTGGGGGCCTCCGGGTCATCCTGCCTCACTGAAGCTGGTAATGAGGTCATCCAAGCCGTGGATGTACAGTAGGATGAGAGAGAAGTGGCCTCACTAGGTAGGAATGGTCACTTTTATCACCCTTGGCTAGTCCGAGGATTGTATGTAACAGTGAATTTCCTTTGTAGGACCAGAGTAGGGCTTTGCCCAACCTTGGTCTGCTTCAGTATCCAGGGTTTTGATCTTGACATTTTGGTCTGCTCAGAGATCCTAGGCACCAGGGCACCCCAGGCAGTTACCCAGGACACTTAGCGCAGCCTGGCCTGGCTGTGGCTTTCACTTGTTGGGTGATCCTGGGCAACTTATTTCTTTGTGGGGTGCAGTGGTTCCATTTGTGAATCATGGTGCTGTGATCATGCTAAAGTAACCTCCGGGATTGCTGTTGGCCTGATGCTCCCGAGCCCAGTTCTGGGCTGCTTGCCTAGGTCCCTTACGGAGGCTGAAGCTAGGAGGCTAGCGTGGGGATGGGATGAGGATCTCTGTCCTGCTGTGAGGAAATGTGGCTGAACTTCTTCCCACCTCAGGACAAGCAGTCATGGCAGAGTGAACGAGAGATCTTCAGCACACCTGGCATGAAGCACGAGAACTTGCTGCAGTTCATTGCTGCCGAGAAGAGAGGCTCCAGCCTCGAGGTGGAGCTGTGGCTCATCACAGCCTTCCATGACAAGGTGAGCCATGTCCATCAGATGGACTCTGAGATAAGATGGAAAGGGCCCTGTAGTGGTAACCCACAATGAGGTAACCCCTACCACAGGTGTTTCTACAGTGAGAACCTTCAGCCTGGGGCTAACTTCTTATGATATAGAGTATGTCCCTTCCTGGGCTGGGCTGGACCGGGTCCTGTTCTGCACCCAGAGCCTCTGCCTGACTTCCATACTGCCTTCTCAGGGCTCCCTCACGGATTACCTCAAGGGGAACATCATCACATGGAATGAACTGTGTCATGTGGCAGAGACGATGTCACGAGGTCTGTCGTACCTGCATGAGGATGTGCCCTGGTGCCATGGCGAGGGCCATAAGCCATCCATTGCCCACAGGTATGTGCGTTAGTAGGTGCCCTACCTGCACTTGGCCTGGAGCAGCAGAGGGTTGGTGAGTGGGGGCAGAATCTGGGGGATGTCTTACCTTCTTAAACATGCAGAGTCTGCTCATGGTGTAGCAGAGCAACTGAGCACAAAACCTGACCTTTCTTTACCTGTGTCCTGGGAATGGCCTGGCCTCCCAGGCTGGTTTTCTGGTGCCCTCTAATGGCAATGTGAGAAGGTGCTGATTTCATTACTTTGGAGAGTTGGCTCAGCAGTATGAAACTTTTTGATTAGGCCCCCTTGTACTGTTAAAATGAGGTTTTGCATACTAGGTCAGTCTGTTGGTGTTTGCTGGTATAGAACACCCACATTCTGTTACCTGTCAGAGATGACAGCGTCTGTCATGGGCCTCTGGGGAAGTCCTGTCTATACTCCAGAAAGATGAGCTTAGAAAAGGCAAGTGATGGAATACAAAAATAGTTTTGACCATGATGATCTCCTGAAACAGTCTCAGGGACCTTCTGGGGTCCTTGAACAATGTTTTGAGAACCCCATTGTTAGCTAGATATGGTATTGCATGCTTGTAATCCCAGCACTTTGGGTGGCTGAGGCAAGAAGATTACAAATTTGATCTCATTCTGGGCAGCTTAGTGAGACCCTTTCTTAGAATAAAAAGTAAAAACAGGCCTGGCGATGTAGGTCAGTACAAAGGCCCTAGGTTCAATCCCTGTTACCACCAAACAAAAACAAAAACAACTCTTATGTTAACTTGCCATCATTGTGCTTTACTGAATGTATGCACTACTCTAAATGTTTTGAGAAATACCAACTCTTCTAACCCTCAGTACTGCTTTGTGAGGTAGAAACTGTCTTCTTAGTCCCATCTTATTGGTGAAGGAACAATATTGCAGAAGTGTTGAGTGACTAATCAATGTCTCATACTAAGCTGGCTTCCTGCCTTTGAGGAAAGGGAAGAAGCCTTGGTTTCCAGACTTCAAAGCTAAAGGATCCCTAATGATATGAACAGTAATGACATAGAAGGTTGACTGTGTGAAATGGCTCCTTTTGTAGGTCAAAAGGTTGAATGTCGCCTCTTGCGTATGGTTCAACTTAAGAGTAATGCATAGTAAGTGTGCCAGGGTGGCCCAAAGCATTTGTGTGTATTACTCACTTAGTTTAATCACCTCCAGCAAGGCTGAGACAGACAGTGCTGGGAGAGTTGAGGACTCAAAGTAGCTCTTTTGGTATGGGGGAGAGCTGTGCAAACTCCAGTACCCTGCTTCACTGCCTGTGTAGCCTACACAGGGTCCTTGACAAGCTGATTTTAAATTTCTGCTTTCACCCACATTCTAAATATCATAAATTATTTCCAGAAAGAAAGGCCAGTGTACCTGACCCCAACCCCTCTGAGAATGTTCGGGTTGGTTTTTGATACTGTGGGGACTGGGACAAGGTCTGTCCAACCATTAGGGTAGGAATGGCTTTCCAACCCTGGTGGAAGCCTTCTGCCCAAGGCCACAGGGAATTCCCACCCCTGTGTAGGCTCCTGAAGATGCCTCAGCTCTGTACCCTGGCACATACCCTGCACCCCAGATGGGGTTGTTGAGACACAGACTCTGGGATCTTGAGGGGAGTGTGGTATTTAAGTGCAGAGTAGGTTGCCTATGCAGTTCTATTTCATCTGGACCAACTTGCTTCCACAGGGACTTTAAGAGCAAGAATGTATTGCTGAAGAGTGACCTCACGGCCGTGCTGGCTGACTTCGGCCTGGCTGTTCGGTTTGAGCCAGGGAAACCGCCAGGGGATACCCATGGCCAGGTACCAATCCTGGGCTGGGAAACAGGGGGCTGGCCAAGGGGATTCTCTAGTACCCAGCAGGGGTTACCGCATGAATTCAGAGCTCTCAGAGAACTCAGAGAATAGAGCTTTTGTGCCAGTGTGGAAATCAAGGCCTGGAGCTTGCTGAAGCTTCCCCACGCCACTGGGATTTTGGTCACTTACCTTTGTAGACTGTTTCTTCTTCAGTTATAATTATTAAATAGGATAAAATAGGAAGACTGCCAGGCATGGTGGCACACACCTGTAATCCTAACACTCAGGAGATTGAGACAAGGAGGAACACTGAATTTGAGCCAGCCTGGGCCACATAGTAGGACCCTGTCTCAACAACAACAACAAAGTACTAAAATCCAGACCAGAAATCTAGAAAAAGTAACTAAAAATTAAACCCAGTAAACTGTCTTAAAACAATCAGCTAATGATATGTTTAAGTGTCCTTCCTGTCTTTGTTTTTTAGTCTTTTTTTTACCCCCTGGAACCAGGGATTGAACTCAGGACCTTGTGGTTGCAAGGCAGGTGTGGCGCCACTGAGCTAAATCCCCAGCTCACTTTTAGTCTTAATCTCAGTAAAATACACATCATTAGTGTAGCTCCTTGTGGTATTGCTGTAGCAGTTTGATAACAATTTCATAAAATTATCATCAGATGTAATTTGTAACTGCTGTGAATGAGGTGAATTGGAGCTTCCCATCACTGGTGTTCTACGCTGAAGCCCGACACCCTACCCCTGTCTGATGAACATAGGATGTAGCTCCCCTGCCCATTGACATGTTTGCTTGTGCCTTGTCAGTCTCTGTAGTCCCCACCCTTCTCTGTCCTTGTGTAGGTAGGTACCAGACGGTACATGGCCCCCGAGGTGCTTGAGGGAGCCATCAACTTCCAACGAGATGCCTTCCTGCGCATTGACATGTATGCTATGGGTCTGGTGCTGTGGGAGCTTGTATCTCGCTGCAAGGCTGCAGATGGTGAGTAGGACAGCGGCCCTGGACTGTGTAGACATCTCAGGTTGGGTTTTGGGAGCTGTGGGGCCTTGGGGTGATCCCACTAGACTTTCTTTCCCCCTAGGACCTGTGGACGAGTATATGCTTCCCTTTGAGGAGGAGATTGGCCAGCACCCTTCTCTGGAGGAGCTGCAAGAGGTGGTCGTACACAAGAAGATGAGGCCTACCATTAAGGATCACTGGCTGAAGCACCCGGTGAGGGGCTTCATAGAAGAAGAGACCTTCTGTGTGTAGGAGCCTGAGATCTAGGGGGAGAGGGGCATTATACTTTGGGCCTATGAATTTGTGCTTTGCAGACGAAGGCTGCCATGTTCCCTGGACCTTAGGGAGGTATCTCTGGGTATAAGTAGTAAGGTAGGACAGTGCCCCCTCCCGGCCCCCAGTGTGACTGAACCACATAAGATTTGATTTGAATATCACTGTTCCAGGGCAAGACATGTCTGCCCTAAGAGGGGCTGGGTAGTTCAGTGAATCCTTCCTTGGGGCTGTGAAGGAGGCAGGTGGGCTCTGGGTGGTGGTTGCCCAGAGAGCAGGCTTCTGGGTGGCTACAGTTTCCCCTGGCCCCAGATGGTGAGCTGGGGCTGGTAGGAGCATTATCAAGTTTGCTGTTCCCCCACACTTGTCCTCACTGAGGGGGTCTAACAAGGTTGTCTTTCCCCTCCCCTCTCCTCCCCCACCATTCAGGGCCTGGCCCAACTCTGTGTGACCATTGAGGAGTGCTGGGACCATGATGCAGAGGCTCGGCTCTCTGCGGGCTGCGTGGAGGAGCGGGTGTCCCTCATCCGGAGGTCGGTCAACGGCACTACCTCGGACTGTCTTGTCTCCCTGGTGACCTCTGTCACCAATGTGGACCTGCCCCCTAAAGAGTCCAGCATATAAGCCCCCAGGATGTGTGTCTCCAGACTCAGTGGATCTGAAGGAAAAAAGGAAAAAAAAAGTTGTGTTTTGTTTTGGAAATCTTATAAAACAACAAACACATAAAATGCAGCTGCTATTTTACCTTGACTTTTTATTATTATTATAATTATTATAATTATTATTATTAATATTATTTTTGGATTGGATCAGTTTTTACCAGCATACTGCTCTACTGTATCTCGAACAGCGGACACGTCAGCAGGCGTTGAGGTGCTGAGCTGTGAATACAGAACCAGCGCCATGCTGAAGAGCCTCAGCCACCTCCTGTCCTTTGGGATTCATTTTTCCCACTTTCTCTTTGTTTGTCGTCTCAGAATCTGTGACACAAAGAAACCCATCTCCTGTTTTAGGAAACTTAATGCTGCAAACTCTACTAGAGGAACCTTTGAAGACTGTTACATAAAAACATACTTTCCTCAGAAGAGGATTTCCTCCTCTCCGCCCTTACCCTGCCTCCCCACCTTTTATTTTGTTTCTCCCTTATTAGGCAGTGAGCTAAAGAAGCAGCAGATGTGTCTTTCACGGATCTAACGGGTGTTGTCCTGACCGAGGAAAAGCTGAGATGAGGACGAGGATGGTTTGGACTGGAGTTGGAAGGGAGGAGTGCTGGGGTAGGGGTTGGAACAGAGCTACACTGGACTCAGGCACATGCAGAGCAACATCCTTTGCTATGGAGGCCACTTCTCAGGTAATCAGGAATTGAGGACAAGGACCTTGTGGGGCCGAGCGTTAATGTCAAGCATGGGGTTTGGAGAAAGTCTGAGAACAGGAGCAGCTCAGGGTCCTGACCGGTTTTTTTTTTTTTTTTTCATTAACTTGGGCTTGGCCAGCCATAGGATGAAACATTATTACTATTCAAATTTTAAAATGAGGCAAGGGCAGAAATCATCATAGTCTAGTGAACATTCTTCATTAGATGCAATTCTATAAATATCTAATGGAGGAAATACTGAAACACCTTTCCTCCTGGAGCAGTTCGCAAAATGCCCATGGGGTGCCCTGCACAGCTGGGGCTAGAGGGTCCCTGAGCAGTCCCTCCAGGACCTATGTCTCCGGGGACCCTTTAAGTCCTATAGCTCTGGCTCCCCTCACCGGTGATTTTACTGACCCCTTTCTGTGGCTCGTTGGACACGGCTTTCTCCAGACTCCTTAAAGTGGTGCATAATCTAAAAAACTTTTTCTATTATGTCATAACCTTGCTCTAGTCAGTAAATGTTCCTGATGCTGCTGTTTTGACATTTGAATTTTTTGATTTATGGAACATACTAAATTTGTTTTCAGACGAAAGGTACACATCTACATATATACACATGCTTTGCTATGTGGCTTCCGAGGTTTAAATTTTAAGAAATAAAAGAATTAAAACTTCACGACCACAGACCACCTCAAACCAGAAATACCTCAGAATTTTCTACTTGTATAAGTTTTATTATGTATTTTGTTAGTTGTGTTGTCTTGTAGTAAGTATATTTTAATGTAAATTGGCTTTTATGACAAGGAAGTTTTAAAAAAATAGAGAAAAAGAAAAAATGTTTGTGTCTTTTAGGGAGTACTACCATTTTTGTTTGATAAAGCCCCTTTGTAAATAAGTATCATTGACTGTAAGTAGGTTGGCTGTCTGGGCTGAGTCTGGGCATTCATCATTCTTGTTGGGAAGGAGTTTCCTTCCAGTTTCTGTAGACTGTTTTATTTAAAACATCACATCTCTTGAATCTTTAGGGTAGATGAGTTGGTGGGTGATGGGAGAGCTTGACCTGGGTGAACTGAGAAGGCCTTCTCCTGGGCTGAACTGGGGGCTCAGATATTCCCCATGACTTGATGGGTCAGTGTTCAGAAGACAACCTCACTTGAGCTTGGTAGAAGCTAGCCTACATTGGCTAATTTTACTTGAGATTTAATTCCTTCAGTGGATTAGTGGCAGGGTCATCAAGGAGATGGGCAGGGCCTCCCTGTGCCCTGTGCCTGGAGGGCGGGTCTCGACTAGCACATCTGGGTGGAGGGTCTTGCCCTTTGCCAGTCCGGAAGTCCACGGGGGTTCATGGGTCAGTGAAGTGAGGGCACTATGAATGTGGAGGTGTCCGCTCCTGCTCAGTGTGCTATGTGCAGTGTCTCGGTCTGCTGTGGGGGTGGCCATTGCTCTGGGGGTTGGGGCATGGGGTGCTGGGGGAGGCCAGTTTGCTCCCCTCAGGGCTTGGTATTTGCTTCATGGGTCAAAATGTGGTCTGGCCAGATGGTTATAGGGACAGGTATTTTGTTTTTGTAAGCTATGTTGTCTTTTCCCTCAGAATAATTCTAAACCACAAAACAGGCCTTACAGCAGTTGCTTTTCTTTTCCACTTATTTCTTTAAGAAGCTTTAAAGTATTTATTGAAAAGTGCCATATCTACTTTCTTTAGCTTTCTTCTCAGGCAGTGGGGACGTCTCTACTTTTCATCCTCAGAAGAAACAAATAAAATTAAGTAATTCACTGCAGGAATAATCAGATCACCAATCTTACTTAGTGCCAAACACTAAACCCCAGCTTTCTGTTTGGTTTTAGATTTCCTCTTGGTGGTTTTTCTTATCTGTGCTGGTTGGATTCATAGAAGTGTTGGCCTGGCTGAGGGAGTATTGAGCTGTGGCCGTGGCATGGTACCCTTCCAGTCAGGATGCAGTGCAGCAGACAGCCTGATGCCTTTTAGTCTGAGTGGCTTCCCTCTTTGCTGGCCCTGTGCCTAGACACTGACGTGTCCCTCTGGGGCCTCACCATCAGAATGCAGTACCAGGAGTTGGTGCCTGTTTGGTGTGGCTGGATAAAGGGAGAGACTGGGGTTCTGTGGCAGTTCCTGGGACTTCAGTCTGTCTCTTCCCCCTCATGCTGTAAAGTGTGCCCATCACATGTGTATCTGGTTGCTAATGGCTAGAAGGTGGGTGATTTCCTTCTAGGGGGTGGCTCTGGGAACTCCCTTTACCCAAAGTGTGTTTGTTTGCTGTCCTGTGCTATCTGAGGGGAGCCCTAGTTTGCATGGATGATGATGGCAGTTAGGTCACAGGGCCTCGGCTTGTGCCCTTCTCCACACATTTCACATAGTATCCATTTTTGGAGGTTCAGAGAACTGTTACTTTTTATTGCCTCAAGTTCTGTGAAGATAAGTGGGAGTGGGGCCTGTCATCACTTTCCCTGTCTGTGAGAGGAGTTGTCCCATCCAGGGTGAGAGAGAGATGTAGCCAAGGATCCTCGCTTCTTCCTTTTGAGTGTGCTGTTGTCTAAGTAGGCTCCTCCTTGGCAAAGACTGTTCTAGTTGAAAGCATCTGTGGTAACAGTGCGAAGTCATGCCTAGCTAGAGAAATCCAGGGATGAGCCAGAGAAAGAGAACACAGGTAAAAACGTGTCATTGTGTCACAGGATCCTGCAGATGGCCCCGAGTGACGGGTGGGCAGGGACGCCCATGGATGTAATCATCAGAGCACCCTGCCACCATGATAGGAGCTGGTGTTTTTCCTAAGATCATTGGTCCCTAGGATGAGGAGGCAAGGGGTGCAGATGGGGTGTTCAGGGGAGAACGATGCCTGGCTACAAGGGAAAGTGGTGCCAGCTGGTTTTGACTCTGAATTCATTCTATCTGCACTTAGGGGCATTAGTGCAGAAAGAGAAGGACATCATCTAGCCCTGAACATCTGTAGAAGGTGAGGGCCTCATCCTCACATACACTCAGCAAAAGGAAGGTTCTCATCTCCAGGCCACAAAGGTTGTCCTCGGGGGTTCGGCCAACCCTTGACCTGGCTTGATGTTTTAGGAAGCTCAGTATGTATGTGATCCCGAGTTCTTTTGTTGTTGTTTTTGTACTGGGGATCGAACTCAGGACCTTGCACTTGCGAAGCGGGCACAGTGCCACTGAGCTAAATCCCCGGCCATGTTCTTATCCTCTCTTCTAATACTGTGTCCTGGGCTTGGGCTGTGTCTGTGGGTTTTCCCTCAGCAAGCCCAGCTATGTATCCAGTGTCTGTGTGCTCTGGCTGAGAAGGCCTGTCATGTGGCCCCTGCTTGAGCCATGAAGGCAAGGGAAGTGACTATCCCCTCCAGAGTGGGAAGACTAGATGGCTGTCTTGCAACAGAATTTTGCCTTTTTAAAGCATGTAGTGTTAAATTCCTAAGCACCTATTGGTAATACAAGGATTTGCTATTTGGTTTTTCCTCCCCTAAATAATTAGGAAGCAAAAGTATGTAAGTTTTTAGCATCTGTACTAGAGGTTGAAAAAACAATAATCTAAAGAATTTGGCTAGCTAACAAAATATGTACATTGGAAAGCAGTTTCTAGTTCATTCAGTTTGATTTTGAGTCTCAGTTATCTGAGCCTGTTGGATTTTGATGGCACATCTTTGGAGGGATAGCCAGGCCTGGCTTACATCTGGGGCAGTAGAACACACCTTTCCAAGCAGTACAGCACGTCTACTCTCCTCTGGTCCTCCTGAGGAAGCAGTCAGAAAGGGAGGGGCAAGGTAGCCTTTTTCCTTCTCAGTTTGCTAAGGTGAATTTTCCTTGATCAGTGGCTGTGTGAAAAACAAAACTAATAAAATATTCAGCAGCTAACATGTTCAGCCTAGGGATGGAGAGTTTTAAGTCTTGATCAACATTGTCTTTTAGATAAAAGGCTTGATACTTTAGTGGATGAACTGTATGTCTTCTTGGTCTAGATTTTAAACATTTAATGCATTCAGGGTTATGCACATGGTTCTTTAGGTAAGATTCACATAGTTGATTTGTAACCAGCAGTCTACCTGTGAATGTATCCCAGACCTTTAGAAGGCTTGGAAAAGCTTTTTGAGATAGTAATTTAGTTTTGTAGAAAAAAAAATTAAAGTTTAAACACTCCTTTGAAAATTAATTAAGTTAACTCAACCACGTTTTAAAAAATAATTTGTGGATTCAAAAGGCCCATCAAGCCAGGCATGGTAGTGCACACCTGTCATCTCAGTACTCAGGAGGATGAGGCAGGAGGCTCACTGTGAGTATGAGGCCAGCTTGGGCTACACAGTTCAAGGCTAGCCTGAACTACGCAGTGAGACCCTATCTCCAAAAAAAAAAAAAAAAAGCCCATCAAATATGTAGATGTCCAAATTATTTAGAGAGATATTTTCAATGTTCCCATTTTACATCCTCTTGGGGATCACTATAAACTTTGGTTTGGATGAGAATACACACACAGCAAGTACCGGGGATTAAACCCAGGACCTTCATACTGAGCTTCAACCCCAGCTCTTTTTTAGTTTTAATTTTGTATTTTAAGGCAGGGTTTCACTAAGTGGCTAAATTGTCCACGCTGGGCTCAAACTTGGGATCTTCCGGTCTCAGCCTTTCAGAGTGCTGGGATTACAGGGATGTACCACCACACCCAACTTTGGATGAAAATTTGAATTTAAAGAATCTATCACTATTTAAGTTTGTACCAGTTCACATTTTCACAACTGTATCTGCCAGGTATGAATGAATGTGGTATTTCCTCTATCCCTGTAGTGCCAAAATTGGTGATGCCTCATTTGCTCCTATGGCAGCTTGTAGACATAACAAGTGGTTTTTGCTGAAGAATTAACATGCATATTCTTTAAATAGCTGTGTGTGATGATAGGCTCTATACTGACCTTTTCCCCTCCAGGACAGTGTCGTATTGTCTAGGTCAGTGATGGCAAACCTTTCAGAGCTTTCAGTGATAACAAACAGCCAGTTGTGTCATGGCGTGCCATAGGTTTGCACTCACTGGTCTATGGCTTAGGCAATTCTAAGAACTATTGTAAACCAGCCACAGGGCACTAAAGAAATATACATAAGGCCATATGGGTGTATGCAGTGTGTATTGGATGCCTGCAGAAAAGTGTTACATTCATTTGTAAAGTTTTAAGCTTTTGAACTCAACAGCTATGAAAAATGTGATCCATTAGTTTTTCAGGCCCATGAGGATGGGTTTTTGTGAATGAGTGAATTCTGTCTTGAGTCTTGGAAACTTGCACTGTTGGTTGGCTATGGACCTATTCCCTGACTTTCTTAGTCATGTTTGCATCGATGTTGTTAGATAGCTTTGTAAATAAAAGAATAGGTTATATAATAGAGACAGACACTTGAAATTTTACTTTTAAAAAGTCTATAGCTCTACATATATATATATATATATATATATATATATATATATATATTTAGTTATATCACCTGACAGATTTCTTCTACACAGTGTGGAGATTGTTTTATACCACAGATTATTTTTATAAAGTCTAGTGAGTTTGAATAAGAGTGGTTTTGTAATCAGAGCTAATGAGCTTTACCTTTCAGGATAACTATACACTGGAGTCTGAGTGATGTGGAACTGTTAGTGCTGGCATAGATTCTTATATACACTGGCAGCCTGCGGTCAGTTTATAGGTCTCCTTTGGCCAAAACTTCACTTGGGGTAGTGTAGGACAGCCATGCTTCAATTTGGCTCCTTGCAGATTGGGAGAAAAGGGCTGGGAGAGGGTCTGTGGTGTGTTTGACATTTGTACTTCCTCCTGGGATTTCCTTTTGAACGGAGTTCTGAGGTTAACAATTCATTTGTAAACACCTATCACAGAATATAATTGCATGAGGAGCTTTGAGGGGAACAAACTGTATGGGGTACAGATTGGGGTAGGATAGGACTAGAATAGGTTATAAAGCCTTTGAAATGAGGATTTGGTGTTTTGTGCACCAAACAGAATTATCTAGGACCAGATTTTCCAGTTGAGTAATTCTTCAGAAACAGGGGTGGGCCCCTGTGTACGCAGTAATCAATTACATGGAGACCGCCAGGCACGTGTGACTCCTGTGGTCAGGGCTGTTTTGGAGATGAGAGTGGTAGGGCTGGCTCGCTGCTTTATTCAGTGTGATCAGCCAGGAGCCCAGTACAGAAGATGCCCTTCATGTGTCCTCAGAGGGGCCTACAGAGGTCAGCGTCACTGCTATTGTGGGGAAAGTGGTCTTTACTTTAGCCTTTTTATTTCCAGGTAGACAGGTAGATGGTTATTATTTTGGGGGAACTCTTGACAGGGCAAAGGGGAAATAAGCTAAATTATAGTACTACCTGAGTCTCAGGTGAAGGCCTGTCTCCCATGTCCTGCGTGCTGGCTTCAGGCTGTGGCTTCCAGAGGGACACTGGATGTAGTTTTGTTAAGAGATTCCTTTGTGTCATTTTAAACCGGCTGTGCTTTCTCTTCATTGTGCTTTAGAGTATACTTTTACACTTCACCCCTTTTATACTGGGAATGAACCTAGTTCCGGATCTAGCACTCCAGGAATTAGCTCATCACTATTTTTCTGTTCCCCATAAATGAACATTTCTCTGCTCTCCAGCCACCTGTCTTGGAATGTAATTCTGTTGTGCCTTTGTTTTTGTCACACTCCTCCCCCAAAAGCAACTGCTGTAAGCTTTTGTCCTACTTGTCTCTTCTAGCCCCAGGCCCCTTACCTTCTTCCTTTTTCCTAGCTCTAATTTCTGGATACACTTCTGTGATCCAGCTTTTTTAAGAACCAGTTACCTCAGACCTCATGTTGAACAGTGTCACCATCCAGGTCCTCTTGATACTGCAGACTTTTACCATATACATGCAAGAACCCTGCCCATGGAGGCACTTGTGTCAAAGCAGAACTCTTCCAAGGACTGACCCGGGAGCTCTGGCAAGCTTATCCTAGTGCTGTGGTGGGGTCATCCTGGAGTATTGTCTGAGCGGTGCTTCCTGCGCTCCTCTGCGTTCTGCATTTTCAGTATTTTCGCTTGTGTCTGAATAGGCAAAACAACTTGACTGGCTGGTCTTACGTGCAAATTAGTTCCAAAGATGAGCTCTTTATTAACACGTTTCCAGTTGCTAAAGCTCAAATGTTGAACATTCCTTTAAATGGCAGGATAAAAACTCACCATCCACCACAGTGCATTTTGGGAAGATGTCTGTAGCATATATTGCTGTGAAATTAGGCCTTGTGAGATACGGTTGTTTGTCATTATGATGTATTTTAAATAAATAAATAAATAAATAAATATATATATATATATATATATTTTTAAGAGCCTTTTTTACCAGTTCAAAAAGCTTAATTAACCAGCAGTCACACCTGAATTTTTTCTCTGAGGCATAGATGGCAGACCAAGATTAAAAGTAGTAGCTCAACCATGTGAGCCGCCTGCGTGGGCCATCCTGCTGTCCTACAACCTTGGACACTGAGGGCAGTTGTTTCCAGCGGGCCCTGGCTCAACCTTCTGAGAGTTTGTCTCTGCCCTGTTCAGTGGACTGTCGACTTCAGTCTCTGCAAGTGCTTTAGCCCAAGTGGGGTTTTCTTAGAGTACTGCCACAAGTTAAGTATATGTTTAGCCAAATAATTTCTCCATAAGGGAAAATGCAATCATCCAAATTTTACCAACAATGCCAGAGATGAGAGTAGGAAAGATTAGGTAACATCTGAGTTTTAATTCGAAAAGTGTCTTAAGTCATTGTCAGAGGCTGTCTGGAAGCAAGTGATTGTTGGGAGATCCTTCAGGAGACCCCACTGGCAATGCTAAGACTGCCAGCGAGGGGCTTAGTTGTTAAAAACGACAGTGACTTTTTCCCCTCTTTTTTTTCTAGAATTCTGTAAAAATGCAAAGAAAGTTGAGTAGCACTCGAGAATTGAAGGAGAGGGTTACCGCAGATGAAAAACATGTTTCTAGATTTCAATTCCACACCACAAACCCACATACTGCCGTTTTTCAACTGTACAAAAGAATCTGCTTATGAATTCGACATGCTCTTAATGGTAACGGCAAAGGCCAAAGTTTTCACCTGTTAATATTTTCCACATTTGTCCTTGATCCTGAATAACTTTCTGCAGTACTGTAAATTTAACTTACATTGAGTTTGATGACAGTTCTTATGAAGCGAGCTTTCAGCATGTAATAGACATTAAGTTAACAGCAGAGTGCAAAATGTAACGAAACAGTTTTGAGTCAACAGAAAATGTCACCTTTTATTTAACATCTTCTATATCAGTTTTACCAGCTACTTCTAAATTTGTACATTATTTGTAAGGAAAACCCTAAGACTTGTCTAACTTAGTGGAGAAGGCGTGTGTTGGGCTTAGGATGGGTAGCTAAGTCTAACTGAGCTATGTTATCTAACTTGTACATACAAATTGTAATTAGAAGTTTGGATTCACCAGTTTCTCACAGTTTAAAATGAGTAATTACAAACTCCAGAATTGTGACTAGTATATGATTTAAGGCTGTAGAAGTGAGGAAGCTCTTGCAAGTAATAAAACTAAAGACTTCTAGTTTTTGGCTCAAAAATCAATAAGTACTGTTTGTATACCAGGATATGTGAGATGTAAATGTAGTAGGTCACTTTTCACCCTTGTAGCTATAAAATAAAAATTTTGTAGAACAGAAATAGCTTGTACTACTGAATTAATAAAAGTTATACTAAAGTACCCTGTTTTAAAATACATACACACACACACACACACACACCAAGTTGAGCTTGTTGCTGTTACCCTGTCTGGATTTGAAAAGTGCTGATTTGTGTGTGTATATATACATATATACACACATACATCTAAAATGGCCTGAAGCAGACGTCTATGTAATTACAGTTGCAAAATGAAAACATTTTGGAAAGAACATTGTATCATAGTTCATTCATTTGCAGTGGATCTTTGTTCCTTTTTACTGTGGTAATTTTAGAGATGAGTGTCAAGTTTGAAATTAGATCTGCTAAGTTGGGGTTTTGCTGCTTAAACTCTGCACTGGGTCCTCAAACCGATGATGTGAATGTAGCTTTTACCCCCTGTGTGAAGAAGCAGCCACACCCCAACAGTTAGGAGGAAAAACCTAGAACTATTTCAAGTTTTATCTTTTTGTATATGAAAATAAAATAATCATAATAAAACAACTTTGTTGTCTCTCTTAATCACATGGTAGTGGATTGAAGTTTCATTTCACTGGAATTTGAAAAATATATAATTTCCATGCTTGTAGGGCTGGCTGGAGTCAGCCTGTGAGTTCCTGCTTGGTACACATGCGGCTGTTAATGGCAGAGGGCCTGCTCCACCATGACCTTGTGGGCTGGAGCCAGTGGGGTTCTCCATTTCTGCCATTCAGGAGGCCAGGGCCTACATAGGTACATGATGGGACTGGGTAAGTTCCCGCAGGGCAGCAGTGTGTTTTCCAAATCTCACGAGATCCAGCCTTCTCAGTCCTGAGCAATAGTTGTGTAAGTGGGACAGAAAAACCTTGAAAACAAGTTGTATGGAGAATTTGGAGAATGCAAACTTTGCTGTTCCCAAACTTGGTCGAGTATTGAGGTCACTTGCTGAGATATTTAAAAATTTGGTTATGAGGCCCCACTCCAGACCTTGAATTAGCAAGCCTAGTCTCATATTTAGATCTTGCACTAAATGAAAACATGGTTCTTTGATAATAAAATAACGATGGTCTCTACTACCTAACCAAGAAAACAGGAAAGTCTCAGAAATCACCTGGATGCTCCTATGGAGAGTTGGGGGCTTAAGATTAAGCCTAAGTGGAGAAGCATCATCTTTGAATCTTCCTTTTGTCAAGTTTAATGCTTCCCTTTTAATTCAGCCTTTATGAGAATCCACAACCTGCTTAAAATTCCTGGAAAAAAAATTCTGATCTAGGTGCTCTTTAAGGACCAGTTCATCATTGTGGCCCATTTTGGTTTTTTAGATTTAGAAAGTTCATTTTTTATTCATGAGTGCCCCTAGTGAGCATAGAGAAGGAAAGGAAGGCAAAAGGTTGACATTTTTAATAGAAAATCTTGGCGCTGTAAAAGCTGAAAGATTGCCCCCTAGGACTCATCTGGTCACATTTTTCCTTGAGGAAAGGAATTTTTACCAAAAGAAATTTGATAAGAGAAATAAGTTTAAGAAAGCAAGTTGTCTGAGCAAGTAGAAGAGGGCTCAGGGTCCATTTGATTTGCCCTCCCATCCCTTAAGGCTTAAACACCACCATGGAGCACTAGGGTTTCCCTGATTAGTTTTTAAACTGGTCTGATAACTTCATTTCATAGGTAGGCAAAAAGGCCCAAAAGGAACTTCACTACCCAAAGGTAGGCAGCCCTTCTAATTCTTAGGGTCAACATGTGGGGTTCACTGTTTCCAGTACAGGATTTAGATCATGCAAACGTCATCTATGATCTCTCTCTCTCTCTAGTAATTAGTACAGTGCCCTGCACTTGGGGCCTTTGGGAAATGTTTAAGTGACCATATTTAATAAATTTGGTGGGGTTGTGGGGGAGGGATTTAGCTCAGTGGCTCTGTGCCTGCCTCCCAAGTGCAAGGTCCTGAGTTTGATCCACAGTAATAAATAAATAAATAAATTTATTTGGTGGAAATTGCAAAAGTAGTCTCAAAGTCTACATGTACGAGTGTTGTATTTTCAGAACCCTCAGTTGCAGTGACAGAAACCATTGGGCAAGCCAGGTCACTGAGTTCAAGGCCAGCTTGGCCTACAGAGTGAGACCCTGTCTCAAAAAACAAAAACATAGTTGGGTGCACTAGTGTTTGTTGCGTATATGTTTATGATTGTCATCTCTTCCTCTTGGATTGTTCCCTGTAGCACTCTGAAAAGAGACTGAAGGTGATATCAGAAAATGGAAAGACATACCTTGCTCCTGTGTAGGAAGAATCAACATAGGGAAAATGGTCATACTTCCAAAACTGCTATATAGATTCAATGCAATCCCAATTGAAATCCCAGCAGCATACTTCACGGACCTTGAGAAAACAATCCAAAAATTCATTTGGAAAAAGAAGAGACCTTAGAATAGCAAAAGCAATTCTAGGCAACAGAGTTATTGCAGGGGGTATCACAACCCCCAACTTGAAACTACTACAAAGCTACTGTGATAAAAACAGCATGGTACTGGCAAAGAAACAGACCTGAGGACCAGTGGAACAAATTAGAAGATGCAGAAACAATGCCAGACATATTCAGCCACCTCATCTTTGACAAAGGAGCCAAACACTCTCACTGGAGGAAAGATAGCCTCTTTAATAAATGGTGCTGGAAAAATTGGGTTTCAACATGCCAAATACTAAAACTAGACCTGTATCTCTCACCATGCACTTAACTAAAATAGATCAAATATCTAAATATGAAACACTAAACCAGCTGGAAGAGAGGTTAGATAGAACTCTTGAAGACATTGGTGTAGGAAAAGATTTTATGAACAAAACCTCAGTTGCCTGTGAACTAGCACAATCAATCAACCCATGGGGTCTCTTCTTATTAAAAAGCTTCTGCACAGCAAGAGAAACCAGCAACAGTGTGAAGAGACAACCCACAATGTGGGAAAAAATTTTCACCTGCTGTTCCTCAGACAAAGGTCTACTATCTTAGTTTCTTAGTATCTTAAGTTTCTAAAGAACTTTTGAAAAACAAGACCTCCCAAATTTAAAGACCCAATCCAAAAATGGGCATCTGAAATGAATGGACATTTCTCAGACAAAGAAGTAGAAATAGCAAATAAACATGAAAAAATGTTCAACATCACTGATCATTTGAGAGATGCAAATGAAAACAATTCTGAGATTCCACCTCACCCCAGAAAGAATGGTTGCTATCATGAAATCAACCGGTAACATGCTGGCGGGGCTGTAGGGAAAGAGGAACACTGCTCCACTGCTGGTGGGAGTGTTGACTGGTGCAACCAGTCAACTGTGGAAACTAGTATGGAGATACCTCAAAGAACTAGGACTGGAAGTCCCATTTGACCCAGCTATTCCCCTGCTGGGTATCTTCCCCAAAGAATAAAAAGTATCAAAGCACAGTGATAATGTGCACCCATGTTCACAGCAGCACATTTGTAATAGCTAAAGCTTGGAAGCAGCCCAATTGCCCATCAACTGGAGATTTGATAAAGAAAATGTTTTTTTAATAAAATGGAGTACTACTCAGCCATAAAAAATAAGAAATTAGAGACATTTATACCTAAATGGATGCACATGGAGGTGATAACTCTTAAGTGAAATAAATAGAACATGTGTAAATACCGAATAGTTTCTCTAGTGTGAGAAACTGAAAGTGTAAATAAGGACTAAAAGGTATATTAGATAATGTGAAATAAGAAGAAAAGGGACGAAGGGGAAGTGGGAGGGGTAGGGGAAAGGAAAGAAGGGAATGGAATTAATATGAGAAAATGAAAAAATGGAAACAAAGCCTTTGTAAATAGGGGTGGAGGGGTTGAAGGGCGGGCAGGGGAAGGGGGAAAAATAACCAAGAGAGATTATGTAAAGGTGCAAATTTCCAATGATGAATGTCATTATATTGTATACCTAAAATGTACCAATAAAGTTAATTTTTTTAAAAGACCAAAAACATACCAGACAAAAAAGTAATTGGGCAAAAAAGGGGGCTCAGGGCTGCGGATTTAGCTCAGTGGTTTCGCTGCCTGCTGTGCAAGTGCAAGGACCCGAGTTCGATCCTGGGTTCCAAAAAAAAGGGGCTCCAGTGAAAGGATCTTGGGGGAAGCGGCCAGCCAAGTCTTGGGAAAGGTAGGATGAGCTTCAGAAGACAGGGAGCTGGGGTCATGACATTGCAGGTCACCTTCACTTTTTTTTTTTTTTTGAGAACATCTCAATATTTAGTTCCAGCTAATCTTCAACTCACTATATCGCCCAGGTTGGCCTCAAACTTGTGATCCTCCTGCCTCAGCCTCCCAAGTATTGGGATTACAGGCAACTATATGCCATCATGCCCAGCTTCGCCTTTTGTTAGCAGTTCTTTCCTTGTTGCTCAGTGTCACACCAGTGCATCTGCTCATTTGTCTCCTTAGTGGGAAACAAGATGTAGATGTTGCTACCATCTGATGTTACAACTTTGCTATCCATAGTGCTGGATCCAAAATTCCTAGAAATGACTCTGGTTCACATTGCTCAATCAATCAGGGTCAGTGACCCAGGGGATTATTCAACATGACTTCATAAGAGGTAGTCCTGGGGAGGGAGGCAGCCTCCTGTTTGAGGCTGTGAAAACAATCTGTGCACTTCTTTAGTTGGTTGTTAGAAATGGCCTCCTGTTGAGTGATGATCATCTAGGTAAAAAGTATTGCTAAGTGCTGGGGATTTAGCTCAGTGGTTCTGCCGCCTGTCTTGCAAGCGCAAGGACCCTAGTTCAATCCCTGGTACCAAAAAAAAAAGTATTGCTAAGAAATAGAAACTTGAAGATTTTGCAGAGAACTAAATCCACATGGAAAGCTAGAGATTGTGCTGCAAAATGAAGGACATTCATGAGTGGGAGTTCATGGAATATATGTGTGATAAAATGAAATTTTAATTTTTTAAATAAATGTTACAGTAAAACACATGACAATTAGCCCCACTCAAAAATACTCTCCCTTGCTTCAAGTATACCCATTGTTCTTGCCACTTTCTGAAGCATTTCTGAGAGTCCTCTTTCGTGTCTTTATTTGCACTGTTGTGGCTGCCTTGATTCAAAACATTTAGCTTGCAGGGTCAGCCCCAAAGTTGCATGCTGCCAGATTTGGTGCCCAATTCAGTGCCAGAGCCAGTGAATAAGGTTGATGAGGTTGATGCAGACACACCTTATTTAAAAGCCATAATGTTTTTGACAGAAACTGTCATAAACGTTTGATTAATGAGGGATGATAAAAAATGTAGTGAATGTTTGAAATTTATTACAATAAGACATATCATTAATCTTACTCAAAATACCCCCCCCCACACACACACACACTTGGAACGCACTCCCATCATTCTTGGCAATGTGTCTCGTTAAGATTTTTAAAAATTTTAAACATTAATTTTTCAATCACCCTGCCATGTCCTTCCTTTGTCACAGGCATTCAGCAGTCTGGACTTTATATTCTACCACGACAAAGACAGTAGAGAGGCTTAATAAAATGGCTGATATTTACAGAACTCTACGGTCTGAGTATTATCATTTCCACTTAAAAGAGGAAACAGGAGCCCAGAAAGATGAAACAACACACTCAAGTAGTTAAGTGGAAATTCAAACTTCTGAAACCTGCTCCAGGGTCTTGAGCCACCACGGAGTATTATGTTGCTAAGAAATTCTAGGAAGTACAAAGCTAATTTTAAAGTTGTGATGGTATGCAATGTGATTTTGAAGCCAGCTGAAATGAAAACACCCGTGGCACAGATAAGACCCTGCCTCAAATATTTTAAAAGGGGCTAGGTATGTACCTATATAGTTCAGCATGAAGGGGTTCAATTTCCAGTGATGCACAAATTTTGGAGTCAGATCTGAATTGGAATTTCTCTGCTCTAGAGGCCTTAATGGACCATATGGCAGTGTTTACTCACCTATTAAACGATCTCAGGACTATATATGCACACCACTGGTGGCCAAGACTGCACACTCACGCTCATCATCTGGCCCAGTGGACCCGCTATGGGTGTGGGGAGCGCCTGGTCCTCCAGGTTTGTCGCCAGGGGGCACGCTAGGCACTCAGCTGCGAGGGCGTGGGAGGGGCTCGGTACCAGCTGCTTCAGGTTCCTTGTGCGTGTTCAGGTTCCGCGGTGGTGATTGGCTTTCAAGTTCCAGGTCGGTGTGCGCACACGCAGTGGCAGAAGGCCGGTTCCTCGAGTGCGATGGCTGTCAAGAGTTTTGCTTCCCGCCTCAGAGGCTCCCGGCGTTTTCTGAGTGGCTTTGTGGCCGGGACTGTAGTGGGCGCTGTGGGAACGGGGCTGATGGCCCTGCAGTTCTTCCGGAGTCAGGACGCGGAGGCGGCGTTGACAGCCAGGGAGCGGGACGGTAAGTGTGTGAGCCGCCTGGGGCCTTGCACTTCGCGGAGGCGCACGAGCTCCGGCCGCCCCGGGCGTCCGCCGGGACTGAGGTTGCTGCCCGTGTCCTCTGCGGGGTCGTCCACCCATCCCACGGAGCCCAGCCAGCGCCTGGGGTGGACCTGGCGTCCAGTGAACGTGCACGAAGGAGCTGAGTGCGCAGTGTTAGCGGATGAGCTGCCGGCCCCCACTGCCCTCCTACGGGAGAGGAATCCTGCCAACCCTTCTTCAGAGTTGCGCATCCTCAGTTTATGTACGGGGCGCTTATCTTTGACCGGAAAAATGAGCGCACGCTGGCTTCCGGGACATGCTAATTCATTTGCTGGAACATGCTGCGTTGGTTGCAGACTGACGGAGGCATCCCGAGAGGATTACCTCGAAACCGACTCGCTGTTACATATGTGCCTGGTTCCTCCTGCTGGGAAAAACAGTACCACTTTTACTGTTTTGCAGCAGCGCACATCTCAGTGCTTCAGTACCGGAGCCTTGAGGAGGTCCGCGAAAGATGATCCTTTGAAAAACTTAAGCTAAGACTGCGTCGTTTGTCCCCTCACTCAGTCTTAAGCCATAAGTATGTAGGTTCTTTTTCATCCAGTCATCTCAGTGACTTCTAGTAATGACGTTTTTTACTGTGAGTGCTGCTTTTGTATAGATTGTGTGTGTGTGTGTGTGTGTGAGAGAGAGAGAGAGGGAGGGAGAGAGAGGGAGAGAGATTTGGAAATGTGATGTGAAAGACCAATAAGATCAAGTCTTTATTTATTTATTATTATTTTATTATTTTTCCCGTACTGGAGATTGAGTCCAGGGCGTTTATACTGAGCTACATCCCCAGCCCTTTAAATTTCATTTTTAAAATTTTGAGACAGGATCTTACTAAGTTGCCCAGGCTGGGCTTGAAATTGCAATTGCCCTACCTCAGCTTCCCAAGAATGCTGGGATTACAAGCAACTGGGCCACCACACCTGGCAAGATCAGGTCCTTTCTTATTTATTTTTGGTGCTGGAGATTGAACCCAGCCTCTGATGCACATGTATGCACGGAGTTACACCCTCAGCCAGGTTCTTATTTAAAAGTTAATGCAAAAAGAAAGTTAATGCAATAGCTGTGTACTTTTTCACGATATAACTATACTACCGACTATAGGCAAAACCAAACCAGTACTTTTCCAGACTTTTTTCTTTAACTTAATAAATAATTGCAAAAATGAGATCTCTTGGTTGATTAGACTTTTGAGCCAGTTCTTTGTAAATCTCACCCCTTTGCTTATAATCTTTTGTTTTTAATAAGAGTCACTAATTATTTCTTGGTTTTGTCCCCCTGTCTCCTTTTTTTATTTTTAGGATCTGAAGAAAAGGCTGTCTTGGAACAATTTGGATTCCCTTTAACTGGAACAGAGACTAGGTGTTACACTAATCATGCCTTGTCTTATGATCAGGCAAAGCGAGTGCCTAGATGGGTTCTTGAACATATATCCAAAAGCAAGATCATGGGTAGGTGGTTAAAAGAAAATTGAAGTAATGGTATTGATGAAAGATGTTTCCAATTTAGAATAAAGAGGATTATTGATAATATTCTCTACCTTTTTCACACCATATGTAGCAAATGATACTTACAAGCCTCAGTGATTAAATGGACACTGCTTGGCCCTTCCCAGTTGACTTAGGGCTGAGGGCATCTACAGTTCAACACTTGAGTTGAGAGGCTCTGTCATCAATATTACTACAATGAACGTCATTCATTTTTTACTTCACCAAATATTTTTAATGCCTAGTATGAGTCTGGCACTGTGTTAAGCCTTGGGGATATAGCTGTGACCAGAGTAGACCCCACGGCGCTTTGAGTTGGTGTAGTAGGTTGACATATAAAACAAATAATCATGAACGTGTAATTATAATTGATTGTACCTCTTCTGAAGGAAGCAAAAACAAGTTAGTAGAATTAAGGAACAGTAAATAGTGCAATGAGAGATTACAACAGGAGAACATGACTTTGATTAGTGTGGCTTTTCTGAGGAAGTAGACTGAAGGGTGGATGGCAGTTACCTTGATATGGGTTGGATGGGCTGTGGTATATGGTGAAGAGCATTCTTGGCAGAAAGAGGCACAGCTGTGTCTTTGAAGGCCCCAAAGTGAGGAAGAGTTTGTTCCTCTAGGGAATAAAAAGAAGGCCCTAACCTAACTGGAGCAGGGTGAATGTGATATGAAATGAGGCTGGAAAGGTAGGCAGGTACATACATCTGTTCATGTGTCCTTGCATCAGAAGATTCCTTTAAGATGACCAGATCTTTATCATTAGGTTCAAATTGGTTTCTTCCAGTTTACGTCCCCACCATAACTGTTTATCCTACTCCTCACCCACATCTATACTGAGGATTACTAAACTTTACTAATTTAATAGCTGATTTTACTAGTGTTTATTGATTATCAATGATTGGTAACATTTTGTGAATTATTTTTTCCTCTGTAAATTATTCTTTACTCGTTTTCAGTTGGGATAATCATTTTTGAGTTGATTTGTATGACCTCTGTGGTATGTTAAGGATTTTACCTTTTATCATAGTTGTTTTATTCCCATTTTGTTATTTGCCTTTGAATTTGCTTTGTGGTCCATGTATTACTTCTGCTTTGGTTTAAAATGTGTGCTAAGTCTATGAATATTAAAATACTGATACTAAATGAGTGTGTACTGTTCTAGGATATATAACAATATAGCGGGAAGCTGTTGTACTTGTTGCTAAAGGGACTCATAAATTAGCATGGAAATTGAAAGTTGATTATAAATTTACATCAAGAGAAACTCACTGATTTCTCAAATTTGAGAACTTTTTTTAAAAAGAGAAAAGTTCCCAAAGTAGAAGGAATTTCAACTTTATTAATTTTATGTTGCTATTAGGCTTACACTTTGATACATGTGTAAGGAAAGCAGTGTGATTTTTGATGTAAATTCCATGAGTTATATACTTTTGAGGTGGTAAAATAGAGCCAATCAATATTATTGAAAATATGAAGCAGTATACTGGGTGTTACTTCACTTTGATATAAAGGATCTTCCATATTTAATACTGACAGAGTTATTCAGACTAACTCTCCTGTTGAAAGTAACAAATAGTCATTAGCAGTTTATAAAAATATTTTTAAAAAACACTTAGTGAAGAGCCAATGGTATAGTGGACCATTACGAAGGTAGTATTTGGGGCAAAGCCAGAAAGCAGAGCCATAAAGCCAGTCCTGGCAATTTTCCTGATTTTGCAGCCTTTTAGGGTGAGAAGGATTGGAGAAAGGAACTGGGTTCACCCATGTAGGTTGTGTTATAGTAGACCATCTCCAAACTAACCTGGAACCCAAGAAGACTGTCCTTGGGGGAACAGCGACTCAGAGTTCACCTGCTTGCACATTGTGGGGCTGTGCAGAGAAGGTTGTCTTGGGGTGAGCAGAGAGGCCTCAAAATGCAAATCGAAAGCATGATCCAGAGACACTGAGGCCCAGAGCAGCTAGCATGGAGACTTTACCCAAATTCACACAACATGTGTGTGTCTGAGAGCCTTAGTCTTCTGCATGGTTTAATATGGTCTGCTGCTCTATACCTTTTTTTTTTTTTTTTTTTTTTGAGACAGGGTCTCACTCTGTAGTTCAGGCTGAACTTGAACTCACTCTGTAGCCCAGTCTGGCCTCGAACTCACGGTGATCCTCCTGCCTCAACCTCCAAGTGATGGGATCACAGGCGTGCACCACCATACCTGGCTCTGCTGTATACCTGGTAGAAGCAAATTTATTTCTTTTCCCAAGAGTGGCATCTTAGGCCTTTGGAAACCCTCACAAGTGAGTTTTAAGGGCAGTGAGCACTAGGTGCAGATAACTAGTTATATAGGAAGTGATTCCAAGGTTAGTGACACTAAGAAGTTTTGATAATTCCTCAGTGGTCCCAGTTATTTTTTTTTCTCTATGAAGTGTTTCTAAAATGCCACATATTAGATACTTTACTGTTGACCTTGGCACTGGTAACTTTAAATTCTCTTGACTCAGTGAAATGACATTGGTTGCAGAACTTCATTGGTCTCCATTTTACACTTTTTTTTCAGTACTGGGAATCAGTTACACACACACAGACACACACACACACACACACACACACACACCCAAACCCCAGTACTGGGGGTTGAACTCAGTACACTTGCACTGAGCCACATCCTTAGCCCTTTCTTTCAGTTTTTTTCTTTTTGGAGACAGGGTCCTACTGAGTCCCTAAGTTGCCCAGGTTGGGCTGGAAATTGTGATCCTCCTGCCTCACCCTCCCAGAGTGAAATCCCAGAGCTGGGATTTTAGGCATGTACTACCATTCCTGGCCAACACAAGAGTAGCAGTCCAAGCATATTCTGTTTGACCTCATAGTTTCTGTAGTTTAACAAGGTCGGACTTTATGAAAGTGGAAAATATAGTGTTGGGGTTTCCTGATGTCCTGTATGGCAAACCATTCTGTTAGTACCAGAAAGTGAGTTAAAATTGGAATTTCTTTTCTCCCATGTGATATTGGATGGAGCTCCTAACTTAAATGTTTGTTTTGTCATGATTTAAAAGGCATTGAGCAGGATGTCAAAGACATTCGCCCCCAGGCTGTGCCTGCCCAGAACAAAGTGTTTTGTGTCTATATTTATCCATTATTTCAGTACATATAAATCTGTCAGAATATAATTGTAAAGAACACAACACATGGGTGTCTTTTTGAAAAACAGGAATTTATTTAGTATCTAAAGTTTTTATGCATCTTTGCCATTCAATGATTGTTTTACATAAACATATCCAGAGTAGTATGTCTTTAACTGGAAAGACCAGAATGAAAATTATATGAGGTAGCTTCACTGTATGAAAAGCATTCTTTCCTAGGCCAGGCCTTTCTAAATTCAGATGAAGTATCTGAACTATGCCAGGAACTTGAGACACGCAGTCCCTAGTACTAGCTGCCTCAAGAGATACCAGCTAGTAGCAGCCAGCTTGCCTTGCCTAGAGAACTGGGAGGGATATCTGTCCGTGATAATGTTCCCATTTTGTGTGTTTTCTTCAGGTGATGCAGACAGAAGACATTGTAAATTCACGCCTGACCCCAGTGTCCCTCCAGCATTCAGTGCCTGCAATGAGGACTATGTTGGAAGTGGCTGGTCACGAGGACACATGGCTCCAGCAGGAAATAACAAATTTTCAAGTGTAGGCATATTTTTGGGAGGGATGGGAACAGGGCTGATATTATGTGTGTCATGGGACCTGGAGATTACAAATCTAGGATCCAAATCTTAGAAACATGTGAATTTCCATTCTTTGTTTTTTATTTTTCTTCTGACTTCTCTTTCTCCCCCCGCTTTTTTTTTTTTGGTACTGGGGATCAAGCTCAGGACCTTGCACTTGCGAGGCAGGTGGCAGCACCACTGAGCTAAATCCCCGGCCCTCTTTCTCCTTTTCTTAGAAGATGCTGAGTCATTTTTATTTTTAATTCATTTTTACTCTTTTTTGTTTGTTTTTTAAAGACAGGATCCATGTAGTCCAGGCTGGCCTCAAACTTGCATTGATCCTCCTGCCTCAGTTTCCTGAGTGCTGGGATTATAGGCATGCACCACCACACCTGGCCTGAGTTATTTTTAAACAAGTTGAATGAGGAAAACCGAATGTTATATAAAAGGGAACTAAAAAGCTACTGAGAAACTGAGAATGGTGGTGCATGCCTCTAATCCCAGGAACATATATCATCTAAGAAGAGGGTGTTTGTATATATGATAATATTATCATACCAAGGAGTGTGTATAGACATATTTTTGTATATTTGCATAGTGTTATCTGAAATACAGTTGATACTCAGATTTCCCAAATTCCCAGTTATGTCCTGTACAGCTCTTTGGATCTGGGACCTAATTGTGAATTGCATATCTCTTTAGTTTCCTTAAATGTAGGCTAATTTCTGTGCCAAAAAGGGGTTGGAGGAAGATTTTCATAACATTGACGCTCACGGTGTGAACTCTTGATGCTTGCCATCATCGAGACAGTGGTTCTCAGCCATGGGTACGCATTCTGATCACCTGGGGAATTGTGCAGAAACTCTCAGCAGAAACTTGGAGATGGACCCAGGCATCAGTTAAGCTCCCTAGGTTATATACAAGCACTTTACCTGTGCCACTTTTTGATGTGCTTATACTCTACCTCTTAACATTCCTGAAAGTTGACTGTGGTTGAGAAATTCTTTGCCAGAGCTTAAAACCAGAATTTTCTCTTAAGCCTTATATTGGAAACTTTAATTCTTAGAGTTTATAGTATAGATTTGGATTTTAGAAATGATAAGTTAGGGCCAGGGATGTAGCTCACTGGCAAGCATGTGTCCCTGAGTTCAATTCCTGGTACCAAAAAAAAAAAAAAAAAAGTGAAAAAAAAGGCCCCTTAAAAAAGAAAGAAAGAAAGAAATGATAAGCCAAAGTAAGCACACCAAGCTTAAAGTCCTTACTTGAATAATAAGTTTTTCTGTCCTGGGGTACCTATAGCTTTCATTTATCCAAAGAAGCACTATAGTCACTAATTGTCCAGAAGTAATGTGTGAGTAAGGAATTGGTTTTCCATGTTTGCTTTGTAAAATATCTTAAAGGGGAGGACATTTCAGTGTAAGTTACTGTTTTTATTTTTTTTTCACAGAAAGCCATGGCTGAAACCTTTTACCTTTCTAATATTGTGCCTCAGAATTTTGATAATAATTCTGGATATTGGAACAGGTAAGTTATGAGAGTTTTTAAAATACATTCTGTGGAAGATGAATTATGTGACAGGAGAATGTATTAGTGTATATCAACTGGCTCTGTATTTGTTCTTGAGATGCTAACCCTACTAAAAGTAAGTATTTCGGGACATTTTCTTAGCTATATTTTGGGAGTGTAGTCTGTGGGAGAACAGACTTCAAAATATAGCCTGTTTTTTAAAAAATGTGTTTTGCTACTGTTCAAAAGTAAAGTTTTGAAAGAAACTACTCAAATTAATAATCCTGAGAGGCAGTAATATCTTTTTTGAATGTGTCCAGAGAAGGGACCTAATTTTTTTTGGTTATATTCTGATGTTCCTGAGCTTTTAAGAAAAAGTGCTAGTACAGTTCATTGTAACCATTAACTAGGGTTTTCTTTTTTTTAAAATGGTCCTGCGGATTCATCCCAGGGCCTTTGCACTGAGTTACATCCCTAGTCCTTTCAAAAATAATTTTTTTTTTTGAGAACGGGTCTCACTAAGTCATTAAGTTGTCCATTGTGGGCTCAAACTTGTAATCCTCCTGCTCACGCCTCCTGGAGTGGTGGGATGAAAGGCATGTGCCGTCATGCCCAGCTCCATTAACTAGGCTTTGATAAGAACCTAACTATAAAATCATCTGAGCCAGATGTGGTGGTGTATGCCTATAATCCCACACTGGGAGGCTGAGCCAGGAGGATCTCTAGAAGTTCGAGGCCAGCCTGGGCTATATAGTTCAGGGCCAGCTTTAATTACATAGTGAGACGCTGTTTCAAAAAATAAACCAAACAAACACAAATCATCTGGACCTGCATTTTTCTGACCCTGTTAATAAGTCTTGTCAAATGCTCTCTTTAAGCATCTAAAACTAGCACTATGGAGGTTTATTAGGTTAGTGTGTTTTCCTCATTGTGTACTTTATGGTTTAAAATAATTAAGAGAGCATCCCACACTAACAGCAATTGTCAATCATGGCCACATTTGTTTCATCTACATGCCCCCATTTTCCTCACTCAGGTTCCACATATGTTGTTTTATTCATAAATATTTCTATATATTTTTAGAAAATAAGTATTTTTTTCAATTTTTAGTTTTTATTAGTCCACATTTGCAGTACATGATAATCACATTCCTCATGGGGAGCTGGTATGTGTATGTAACACATCTCAATTCTTTTTTTATCTTCTCCCTCTCCCTTCTCCTCTTTCCATGTCTTAGTCCCCTTCACATTTGCAAAAGATTCTTTTAAAAGGTGATCCACTGAACTATTATGCCCCTAAAATAAGTAACATTAATTCCTTATTACTAGTTTTCAGTATTCATGTTTCTCTGATTGTTCTTAGGTATTTTTGGTTGTTTTAAATTAGGATTCACAGAAGGGCTATACTTAGATTGGTTGATACATTTCTTTAATTCTTTTTAATTTGTGGATTCTCTCTCTTTCCTTCCTTCCTTCCTTCCTTCCTTCCTTCCTTCCTTCCTTCCTTCCTTCCTTCCTTCCTCCCTTCCTTCCCAAACTCAGGCCCTTGTGCTTGCAGGGCAGGTGGTGGCACCACTGAGCTAAATACAGGCCCTTCTTTTTTTTCCTGCAAATTATTTTTTGAAGATTTGAGATATTTTCCCTTTAGAGTTTCCTTGCCATGTTCTGGATTTGAGTATTGGATACCTGTAGGCACATTTAACATTTTTTTCCCCAACAGATGAATTTATGGGAGGAAAATTTTAGCTTGTAATTGGGCATATACATATAATATAATTTGATTTTACATTTTAGATAAGAGACTGAGGAAGATAACAAATAATATTTCTCATTTGGAAAGCTCTTCCAACTGCACTATAAGAAAATGCATGTATTGTTTCTCAGCCTTTTGGCTAAGATCAAGTGAAGAAAATGCATATAAAACCACTTTCATTTTTATTTGGTAAATTTGAAAAAACAGTTTTTAAATGATAAATTCCAGTGTTGTAAAGATTGTTGTAAAATTGTTATGTCATATAATGGAGCATAGAGTGAATTTATATAATCCTATTAAAAATATTTAGTATAAGTTTTACATATAATTGAGTCATTAAAGTATTTATTTAGTAATTTTAGCCCTTGAAATTTATCCTGAGAATTAATACAATATTGCATTATATAGGAAATGATAAAATAAACCCAATTGTCCTATAGCAGGAATGAATGTTTGAATGATATATAATTCTTGAAGAATATTTACTCAAAAACTATGGCATAGACTGTGCGGCAGGAGCAGGGAGTTCTGGGATCAAACCCAGGGCCTTGCGCATGCAGGTTGGGTCCTCTACCACTGAGCTGTGCCTCCAGCACTGAAAAATGCTGTAACAATTTCAGTTCTAAGATATATATTAAGTATGCACAAAGAAAAATTTAGATAGTTATGTTGTGTGATTTTAAATTTTTTTTAGTAAAACTTTGGGAAAATTAGTATATCTATGTTTAGGTGATGGTCTTATTTAAGTTAATTGCACAAATGTAGTATTCTTGATATCTTTCCTAGGGACTGTGATGGCTTGCCTCTTTTTTTTTTTTTTTTTGGTACCGGGGATTGAACTTGGGACCTTGTACTTGTGAAGCTGGTGCCAGAACCACTTAGCTAAATCCCCGGCTCCTATGGCTTGCCTCTTTTCTTCTCATGTCTGTCTATAAAAATATTATATGCTTTTGGATTTTTTTTTTCAGAATAGAAATGTACTGTCGTGAACTAACAGAGAGGTTTGAAGATGTTTGGATAGTATCTGGACCTTTGACCTTACCTCAGTTTAAAAGTGATGGAAAGAAGACAGTTACTTATCAGGTAGGGACTTGTAATATTCAGGCTTATGTTATTTGTATGAAATTATTATACCATTCTGTGTTGTACTTATTTTTTTTCCCCAGTACAAGGGATGTTCTGCTTTTTAATATCATTTATTCAACAGTATTTATTGAACATCTATTGGTGTTACAAGCACAGAGAATACAGTGATGGATAAAAAGCAACCATTCACTTCTCCGGAGCTCACAATTCAAAAAGAGGGCCAGGCACGTTAACAATAAACTACGTTGAAGTGTAATACTCTGTAGTTGAGATTAATGTATAGATGAAAAGGACTGATGAACTACTTGTGTGAATTGGAAGGAGGAAATAATGGAGGAGGAAATATTTGAGCTAGACCTTGATAGATAAGTAAAGAGTAAGCTGACTCAGGAGGGGAACATGGCAGTTCCAGAATATGGAACAGTGTGGCCAAGACAATTGTGGTCAACAGCTTGGTTGCAGGATTTATGTGTCATTCATAGAGACTGGAGCTCATGGTATAAGAAAGGAAGGCTGGCAAGGGAAGAAGGATCTCTATGACAGGTAGAACAGGGCCAGCTAATAGATGACTTCGTATTCTAGGTTGAAGGCACTGTAGAGCCATAGGTTTTTTTTTTTATTGGTACATTTTAGGTACACAATATAATGACATTCATCATTGGAAATTTGCACCTTTACATAATCTCTCTTAGTTCTTGTTCTTTCCTCCTTCCCCTGCCCTCCCTTCACCCCTTCATCCCTCCCTATTTACAAAGACTTTGCTTCCATTTTTTCTTTTTCTCATATTAATTCCATTCCCTTCTTTCCTTTTCCCTCCCCCTCCCACTTCTCCTTCCCCTTTGCCCCTTTTCTTCCTATTTCACATTATCTATTATACCTTTTAGTCCTTATTTACACTTTCAGTTTCTCACACT